TCATACAATCATCAGAAGTGAATTTTGGGGATATAATTTTATGTAATAATAATAACTATAATAATAGACTAATATTTATTGTTTTTAATATGAGCCAGATATTTTATTGTATTCATTATTATATTACTTTAACTTCAAAAGAACCAACTTAGTAAAAACTCCTTTTCACTAAGGCAACTTATACACTACAGCCTTGAACCCAGATTTTCTTTATCCCAAAGCCAATGCTACTGAGGGAGAAAAGGAGAGGACTATGAGTCATATGGTTGGCGTTCCAGTTGGGCTAAGAAATACAGAGGTTAGGGGTTCAGGTTTGCAGATCAGACAGATCTAGATTAAAATCTTCATTCTGCCATTTATCAATCTGTAATCACTCAACCTCTCCAAACTATGTGGGGTTATTATTCACAAGCAACAGAAACTGATTATGATCAATTTAAGCAGGAAAATAATTTATTGGAAAGACAATCAGTCACATAAAGAGTCAATGGGAAGGCTGGCAACATCACACAGCTACAATCACACCTAATCCAGGTGGTTAAGATGCTTCAACCCCAGCAGCTGCTTCTACTACAGGACCCTCGGCACCACTATGCCCCAATGCTGCGTAGTCTTTGAAAAAATGACAATGTCCTCTACGTTCCTTAAGCAAACTTCAGCTTGCTCATTTGTAAAATGGTTATATTACTATACGGTACCTTCTTCATAGCTTTGTTGTAAGGATTAGATGTACAAAGCACATATAAAAAGCATTCAGCACAATGTCTCACACAGACTAAGCATTAGATAAATTTCAGCTGGTCTTATTAATTCTCATGCCTTTGAACAAGTCACGAAGCTTTTCCGGGGCTATGTTGTCATTATTGAAGAGAGATGATTCTAATCATACTGTATGAGTCATAGGCTAACAGCTGAAACAAGCAGCCCCTCAAGTCTCAGTGGATTCTCTTTCACTTCATCATCCAATGAAGGTCACTGGAATTGGAAAGAGGTCCCCACTCCATGCAGGTTCAGAGACCCAGTCACCTTCTGATGGCTCTGCAATACACCAGGGCCTTGTATCTTGTTGGCAGGACAGAGAAGACAGAGAACGTGGAAAATTGGGGTCTTTTAGGGACCAGGCCTAGAATTGGCACGCATCACTTCTACCTGTATTCTGTTGGCTGGAATCAAGTCACATGGGCTTCACTTGACCACTAGAAGTCTGAGAAATAACACATAGCTATGTGTTCAAGAGAAAATGGAAACAGGATTCGGTGAAACATGGCAGTCCGCATCACAGCTCCCTAACACACTCAGGAGATCACTAATAAGATCATACCAAATGTGAAAATGCTATGGAAAGTGAGAAACAAGCTCACTATTTAGATGATGCCGGTGTTGATGATTAAACCAGGGAGTCTGCATATTTTCTAAAGTACTAAAATATACATATATACATACAAATATATAAAGCAATTCAGGAGGTGTGACAAGGAACTGAAATATAATCAGAATGTCCATCTTCTTGTCAAAGGGGCACTTGAACTCATAAGGCGTTATCTCTCCATCTGTATGTTCAAATATGAGCAACAATAAGCAAATAGTCCCTTTTCTTTGCTCATTAGCCCAATCTACAATGGGTGTGCAATGGAAATATTTGTCTGGAGAAGAAAAGAGGAAAGGAATAAAAGAGAAGAAAGCCATCACTTTGAGAGTGTAATTATGGGAAGAGGCAGCCTGAAGCAATCACTTGGTGGCAACCAGTCTACTCAGCAGTAATTTATTACCACGTGAAGAAGTTGGGGAGTTAATCACAGTACTGACATGTGTAACAACAACTCCATGCACTAGACTCAGCATAAAACTCAAGCTTAGAAAATGAAAATAATTAGAAGACTGCACATTTGAAACGCACCACTAAAATAAGAGGGTGGTCATTAGGGCCACAAACACAACTGTGGACCTCTTTTCATGCCCAAGTTCAGGTGAACGGCATGCTTGTAATCCACAGAACCAACTGGGCGAGCTTGTGGAAGGCAAAGGTGTCCAAAGGTGTGTTATTTGCACCAGACATATGCTCTGAGTATCCGCATGGCCTATTGTGAAAGACAGAGAGCAAACACAATTTCCACAAGCTTTGCTACATGAATGTTAGTGCTTTAGGAATGCTCTAAGACCTGACCAGCTTTGGCTTAGTAAAGGGGTCCAGGCCGGATCTGATTCAACCTGCTGCCTTCCTCCCGGGAGTTATGCCCTTTCTTACCCATTATTTTGACCCAAGGAAGATTTAACAGAGTCAAAGGGAATATGGTCGGTAGCGCCCAAGTGGCCTTTGCTTTTAAACAAGTTTTCACTTTTTGGTGTTTATTCAAAATAGTAGTCAGATAATTAGAACTAGGAGAGAATAATCAATTTGATCAGTCAGGTCGTTCTTAATGACATTTTTAAAGATTTAATGACAGTTCTAAACAACTGAACCAGGGTTTTCCAGTACAGAGAAGTAGGGATTGGGGAAGAAATGCCAGAGGTGTATATAAAACAATGTTTAGAACAAAAAGCTCTTCATTAAAAATATGTAAACAGTGACAAAAATTATCCACATAATCATGGCAATTCCTCATCTTTTTGCAATGTAGAATACTGGCAGAGTATGAAGGAAATTGAACTACACTATTCGGGTTTTCCAAATTAAGAATAGAATGATTTGTTTTCCAAATCTTTAACTTCTACTTCTGAAGGCTAAACCTTAAGCTTTAAGAATCATGAACCAAAAGAGGACACAGGTAAACCTCATTGCAATTTTTTAATCTTATTTTTAATCTTGGATTCTTATTTATTTTCATCTTCCCAAAACTACTATGGAAAGAAAATTTAAAGGACTAGTAAGAAAAACAGCTCCATTGATAACAAGAACAATTTATCAATGACATGTTAAAATCTGTAATATCTACTCTCCCAGATTATTATGCAATTATCTCAGCAGTGTGCCTCAATTTTCATATTTAATATAGTCTTTATGGTGAAAAATTAACAAGTACCAACCTAATTGTTTTCTATTTTAGGAACTTCAAATGGAAAGAAAACTAAAAATATTTTTATTGGCAGAAAGTGAATACAGGTGGAACTTCCCACCTCCTCTTCATGTATTTACTGACAAACCACCTGACAGGATGATAGTGATGCAATATGGTTAGGGAAGAATGGGGGTAGAATGTGTAGTTTCCTGTTTCTAGTGCTGATTTGTTTTTAATGCTGACATGATCCTACAGGTTATTACTCAAAAGTAGCATAGGCAACAGAAGTTGTTATAGTGGTGATTAAGAGAAGACTGAGAAATGGACCAATTGCTTGTGTTCTTTTTATATGGCCTAACAAATGTATGTTTTTATTTCTGAATCCCTAATATTCATGAGGAAATATTATAAACAATAGAATGATGCTATAGTAATAAATCCATATAGTAGTGCCTTACATAAGTCAATGTGATTCTAAATAGTTAATACTCTGTAATTGAAATCTGGAATGTCCTCTGTTTCTGTTACTCCGTTGTTACTGTGCCATTTGAGAATAATTGGAGAACCAGATAAATTCGTTCATTCATGAAATAACGTTTAAGGAATAAGTGCCTGCCCATCATATAAAAGAATCGAGTTATTTACTTACCCTGTGAAGAAATGCAATATGTTAAAATACAACGTATAGGTCACATGGTTTTTCTAGGAAATTACACTGTGTGAAGGCCCACAAAGTCTTACTTTATGGTTAAAAAAAAAAATAGTGAAGTAGTTATAATTGCACAGTAGAGTTTAACAATTTTCTTCTTTTTTCTTCTTTTTTTTAATTTTCACTTCTGATTTTCAGATATAGAGGAGATAGAAGTGAATGTGTATAAAAAACTGTTTCCACCACGAAAGAAGTCAAACTGTAATTCAAAAAAAAAAGGGGGTAAAGCAAATAGGCTTTTCCAAGACTTAACCATAAAGGGAAATGACTAGAGAATTCCTTTACTCACATGACTTTCAAATCCTGGTCTCACCCTACATCAGCCTTTCAAAAGACTCGTGGTGAAGGTGTCTAACGTGAATACAGCAGGACAAAGGCCAAAGCTTAGTCTAACCGTTCCTACAGGGCAGAGAAGCTGCCGGGAGGAGGAGCAAGGTCTCGGCGTCTATCCAGACAGCGGTCCCACGGTTACTAACTCTCCATGTGGTACCGACCCGCCACCTCTCTAACGTCTGCGCCGGGAGAGGTTGCTGTCTGATCTTCTTTTCTTTTGCCTGGGGCTACCCTACAGAGCGCAGCCCACAGCCTGGGCACTGCCAACCAACTCCATTTATGGTGACAGGATGAATTCTTCGTTGTTTCCCCGCCCAAGCCTCGTACCAACCCAACCATCCACCCACCGCGTCCGTTACGCGCACCCTACTTCTGACCCGGGGCCAGGCGCGCGCACTCCATACTTCTCCCTACTTCTCCTTTTGGAGCCGCGCGTACGTGCGTACACACCCCTCAGCTACTCTAAGGTACTTCTAAAGCAGTTGACCTCCCTTCCCAGCACCCAGATGTTGCGACCTGCCTGTAGAAGGTGAGGGAAATAGCCTACTAGCAGCTGGAGGCAGTGAAGAAGAGACGCGGATTTCAGAGCTGGCCCTCTGGATGCGGAGTTCAGAGGGGCTATGAAGGTGCCAGGGAGAGCGGGATTTCCCAGGCTCCCCGCCCACGGCGGTCCCTCAGCACCAGTAGCCTGCAGCGCCGGGACCTGTCTCGGCGACCCGCGCCCTAGCTGAGCGGCAGAAGCCCCGGAGAGCGTCCCCCGGCGGTGCGGTGGGACCCGCACAGCCCCGAGCCCCGCCCTCCCGCCGGCCGCCTTCCCCGCCTCGCTACCTCGAGGCGCAGAGGACGCACCCCGCCCCTTCCCGTCTGGCCAATGGGCGCCCGGGCCGCGCACTGTGTGTGCCCGCCTCCGCCAGGGAAACTTGAAGCAGAAGAAAAGTTTGTACAGAAGCTGGAAGAGCAAGAGCGGAGCTTGAAACCTCGCAGCCCAAGAGGAAGAAAATGAATAGTGCCAGGTCAGAGCTTTTGGCCCAGTGGACCTCAAACCGCCCCCAGGGATCCAGAAGCGGCCTCAGCGGCAGCCACCAACCCCAATAGCCGCTCACGCTGCTCTAGACTGCGGAGGAGAGCGGCCCGAGCGGGTGACTGAGGCTGTGTCACCTGAGCGCGCCGCCGCACACCTGAGGGCTGTCCGCCCGCGGATGGGACTTGCGGACCCCGCAGAACTTAGATCATCTTTGAAGAAACGGACAAATAGAGCGAAAGAAACCTAAGAGCAGGCTTCACTGATCCATGCCGCTGCCCTTCTGGTTCCCCAAGTTTTTGAAAGCTGGCCACTCTGACTGCCGTTCCAGAAAATTGACAGCCACCGAGACCCGGCTCTAAGGAGGCAAAGGCTTGGCAAGCTCCACATCGCGCGTGGCGAGGCTGAGGACAGGTTGGAGGCGTGTCCAGGACACTTGAGGCTTGACACTGGGGTTTTACACGGCTCCCACCGCCGCGGCCACCACAGGTGAGATAGGGTTGGGGGCACTGGACAGAGAGCAGTGGGAGGGCGCTCCACGAGCAGAGCCTGGGAGGAGAGAGCGCGCTCTCCAAGTTGTCTTTCATAGCCTGTTTTTAATGAGAATTTTATTGACTCAGAATCTGCGGGAATGAGAGCGAGCCACTTTTCCCTTGAGATAGGTCTTGTTCATCTTGGCAGTGGAGAGAAGTTGGGTTGGAGGCAGGAAGAGAGAATGGCAACTTATTAATGCTCATAGAGTGGTGCTACAGGCAGGGTGTGTCAGGAACCTGGAGATTTCGGTAGCCTTCAGGGGCCGCAGTAGGCAAGTAGCTACACTCCAAAAGGTAGGATTGAATTGCCCCCTTGTCTCATGAGCATATTGTTTCTTGAGAGCGGGTATGACACCTTGCGAGTGATAATTTACCCTGACCGCGCTTCTGTCTCTCTCCTACCATCCCCAGACCCAGCCTCGCAGTTCAAGGCTGTGTATCGCGGCCATCATCATGACCACCCCTGGGACCAACACGTCCGCCTCTTTGATCCCAAACAGCCCGGTGACCATCCCGGCGGTGATGTTCATTTTCGGGGTGGTGGGCAACCTGGTGGCCATCGTGGTGCTATGCAAATCGCGCAAGGAGCAGAAGGAGACGACCTTTTACACGCTGGTGTGTGGGCTGGCCGTCACTGACCTACTGGGCACGTTGCTGGTGAGCCCAGTGACCATTGCCACGTACATGAAGGGCCAGTGGCCCGGGGGCCAGCCGCTGTGCGAGTACAGCACCTTCATCCTGCTCTTCTTCGGCTTGTCGGGCCTCAGCATCATCTGTGCCATGAGTATCGAGCGCTACCTGGCCATCAACCACGCCTACTTCTACAGCCACTACGTGGACAAGCGGCTGGCCGGCCTCACGCTCTTCGCGGTCTACGCGTCCAACGTGCTCTTCTGCGCGCTGCCCAACGTGGGCCTCGGCAGCTCGCGGCTGCAGTACCCGGACACCTGGTGCTTCATCGACTGGACCACCAACGTGACGGCGCACGCAGCCTTCTCCTACATGTACGCGGGCTTCAGCTCCTTCCTCATTCTCGCCACCGTGCTCTGCAACGTGCTGGTGTGCGGCGCGCTGCTCCGCATGCACCGCCAGTTCATGCGCCGCACCTCGCTGGGCACCGAGCAGCACCACGCGGTCGCCGCCGCAGTCCTGGCCTCGGCCTCTTGCAGGGCCAACCCGGCCACCGCCTCCCCCGCCCTGCCGCGCCTCAGCGACTTTCGCCGCCGCCGGAGCTTCCGCCGCATCGCAGGTGCCGAGATCCAGATGGTCATCTTACTCATCGCCACTTCCCTGGTAGTGCTCATCTGCTCCATCCCGCTCGTGGTGAGTGGCGGGGACAGGGGCCCCACTCGGCCCTTTCTCCCGCATCCACCTCCCCCTCCTGCTCCCTTTTCTTCCCCTCATTCCTTGGCAATGGGCACGTGTCCTCCAGGTCCCAGCTGGGATCGCCACCCTCGGCTTCTCAGAGCAGGCCCAACCTCCTTTCAGACCACATCCCTAACGAAATGTAGCAGGTGCTTTTCCCCTACATCCCCGAGTTTCTTTCCCCGAAAGCCCTGGTTTCCTTTCTCTCCCGGGACAGCCCCTACCCCTTGCTGCCTGACATTGGCCTTGAGCCTTCCGAGAAACCCCGCCTCTCTGTCAGATGTGGAGGGGAAACCTCTGTAAGTGTGACTTAGCCCCATCCTCCACACTGTAAACAGCAGAATCCGAAACGTCAGGGTGGTTATCTCTTTGGTGTACACCATTCCTTCGAGCAGTGAAGTTTGGGTGTTTTGATTTATGTAGGATTTGGGGCTTATGGTTATGTAAAATTTTAGAGCTAGAAGACATAGTAAGTGCTTTTTAATCTTCACTTTACATAATGAGTGACTCGCATAAAATAATCTAGCAGAACTACACAGTCGAGCTAGAGTCCCTGCTCGTCACCATGCTGCGCCTGGGAGAACATCTCAGTGCACATGTGGGTTGTTTCTGCACAAGGAATGGCCCAGACTCAGGTTCCTTCATTCTCTGTAGAGGCCAGAAAAGCGAGATTTCGCGGGGGGGCAGGGAGGGCGCTATTAAAGGCACGCTAATGTACATGGGGTATTGAATTTGAATTCTCAACAACGGCGAGAAGTTCATTGCCGTTCTAAAGAAATAGCGCTTTAGAGATGGTCATTTTATTTATTGTTGGTCCAAAGCCTGCAGCTCTTGATGAACCTCAGATCTCTCTGACTGCAAACCCTGCTCTTGTAGTATTACCCCTTATCTCCCTTCTAGAACGCTTCTAATTTTGGCCTTTGTACAGTGTGTATGTGCTTTTGGATTTTGGTACACTTCATTTTTAGAACATCACCTTCTTTAAAATTGTCTTTGAATTAACTTTTTAAATGTTACACGCAGAATGGTCGAAAGCCTACCTAGTTCTCCTCTACTTTGCCTGTCATTAAAATTTTATGCACCAGAAACCAATGGGCAACTACACATAATACTTTCTCTAGAGTTTCTCTTAACAGCAACTAGTTCTGAGTTTTTTCATCCTCAAAATACTGCATTCCTGGACAGAATGCAGAAGAGATGATTTCTCTTTCTTATGCTGATTAGGAGCAAGAGAAAAATAAATATAATGGGCTATTATTCCTGTCTTTCCCTTGTTAATAATGTCCAGGGATATTTAATATAAAAATATTATATATCTGATAAGAATGACTGTAAATGGAAGGAACTTAGAGGTGGCTGAGAGCCAGTGTACAGTAGCTTCTTGCCAATTTGTATAAACAGAAATAAATATAATTGGCCAGAAGGACCTTTAAACCATTCCAGGACTACATATAATTTGCAGAGTTAAGTCACACTTGAGCCGCATAAATATATTTTACTGTGTGTAATGGCAACTCAGAATAAAGTGAGATTTTGGAAAAGACAACACAGCTTCTTCTGGGGCTCCCTTCTCTGGCCTTTGCCTTATGTTTTACAGAACCGTAAATGACAAAGTGAGAGGTTATTTACAGAATATACTCTTAAGGAACAGAGGAATTAGAGCCAGAAGGTTAGCAACATGCATGTACTTTTTAAATGTGTTTTGGTAAGAAGTATGCATCTGAAGCTATTGACTAATGCAGATGAATTGTTTTCTTCCAGCATCTACAAAGGCACAAAATGCTTAATCCATCTTATTGACTGAAGCAGCAGACCTGGCCCTATAGGGCAGGGACATTTATCACAAAGCCTTTGAAATTATTGGAGAAGCTAGAGGCAAGAAATTATAGGAGCTATATTTGTGGTTGCAAATTAGCCACATTTTAACTAACAAATACTGTCCATTCTATATAAAGTCAGTAACGTGCAGTAGATAATAAGTATTTTTACTCTGAAAATTGAAACTGTCTCAGCTAAGAAGTAATCACATTGTAAGTAATAAAGAATCATACAAGTAGTAACAGCTTCAGTTTTTAGCCTTTAGTTTTGGCTACCAAAATCTCATTTCAGAATCGATTTAATTATAAGTTAATGATATGCAGTAAAAGTCATCGCACTACCCACCTACCCACAGTTTAGCAATTACTGAAAGAATTAAAAGGGAAACTTATCCACAACTATGGTCTTCCTTAGCTTCTTTTTACAACTTTATTTATTTATTTATTTTATGTTTCTCATCTGGATATTATCATTTAAGCTTAAAGTTTCTGAACTCTGACATATAAAGCAGTCAGATTTGTCTTTAGTTCCAAGAAAATGAAACATCTCTTTCTTTAACTTTATCAAATCAAGTTGGTTGCTAATCTTATTTTAGGAAAATGAAACCCTTCAAAACATTTAAAAGCTTTGGAAAGGCTATAGAGCAAAATACAGTTTACTTGGAATTTCAGAAAGCTTGACAAAATATATAAGGAAAACAAGCAGTCACTGAAAAGCAGCCAAGTTTTTTGTCTTTTGGGCATCAGGGAAGAAAAAAACCACAGTGGCTTTGAGGGTACTTGATACTGAGTTTAGTATAGAAGTAATTTTTAATTTGTTCTCCAAAACATGTATGTTTCATAAATAGAGCTTAGAAATTTGAGAAAGGTTGGGAAATTAGTTGTGAATATAAAGAACTGTGCTGAACTTGCAAAATTTGCTAAAGCGAGAGATAATCAATGAACAGAGAAGGTGTGAATACAATCTACAAGGAACATTTTATAACAAAATTTAGTGGGAAGGTGGTTCTTGTCATTTTGTCTATTTTTCTGTTTATAATCAATCTCTGGTTTTTTCTGTATACAGGGGAAGCTGAAGAAATGAAAGAGTCTACCCTTAAGATAAATAAAAGGGATTGCATTCTTTAGAAATAAATATGCAAGCAAGACAACCTCATAAGGTCTGCCATTAAACTCTGTAGCTAGATCAACTTCTGGTGCCTAATTCTGCCATTACTAATGTTAAGATAAATATGATAATCAAATCTTTTGCCTTAGGGTTAAATAATTACACTATAGGATTTGGAAAGGCATTTTCCCTTATGCAAGAATAGCTGTGTTTACTGCTTACTTGTTTCTTTTATTTTCTTTCTTCTTCCTATGAAGTAACAAGTATTTATCTCTGTTAGAGGTAGAATGGCCAATTTCATTAATCTTCTGCCTGGAACTTAGTTTTTAGGCAAATAGCTTCCTGTGGTTGCTTACCATAAACTAATTGTCTGTATAAAGCTTTGACCGGCATTTGATCAGCAAAGGTTTATTAGGGCAGATGAAAAGTGCATAAATAAATATTCTTTTGTTTACTGTAGGCAAACTGGAAGTTAAGTTTTAAAGCAACTGATGGGATTTCAGATGAGTAAAAATCACATTTATAGGTATAAGAGTAATGCCATAAATTAGGGCACTATTACAGCAGAACCTGAAGGATTTGATTATTTTTCAAATACATTTAGCAAGTTAAAAAAATGGCAATCCCTAAAAGTAGTTTTTAGTCCTAACATAAAATTACAGACCTATTCGTAGTACCTTGAAGACTACAGGATAACATAAAAGTAAGGTATTTCCACATCAGGCATCTCATTAATAAAAACCAGGAAGAAAATAGGGCTGGCCAATATTTTCACTCTTTCTGTGCCTCAATTTCCTCAACTGCAGATGAAGAATTTATGTTATTATGCAACTCATTGGGTGGCTATGGGTGAGTCCTAGTCTAATACTCTTTTAACCATAAAATCTTGGTTTTTTTGAACATCTGCTAACAAGATTTCTTTTCCCCAGAGTGGAAGTGATTCTTGTAGTCTCCTAGTAGAAGGTTGAAAGTTAGAGTTTTTAAAAATATACTTCAGAAATAAAATTTTGATGTAGAGACTGACCTGTAGAGATTAAGTAATTTGCCTGCAGTAACTGGCTGGTTGGTGACCCAGAGGGAAGGAGAACTGAATTCCAACCACCTGGTCAAGAACTCCACCATCCTCTACTGAAAGATTTTTTTGGTCACTAAAAAAATAAAGAAGAAAAAAGTGACAAAAAATTCTAGTAGCAGCTGTGTCAGTCAGGGACTTTTCACAAGGCAATGAGATAACTGAGCACACACAAATAGTTCCTTTTATTTGCTTGGAACAGAACAAGTAGCGTACGTACATAAATCCAGTTACAAGATCTCGTCATTTTTTGGAAAACATTTCTACCTTGACAGTCTATTACTGAAAATCAGTCTAATCAAGACTTTAGCATTCTTTTTTCAATTAGACATTCTCTGCCAACAGGTTATTCTTACACAGGAAGTACATGTTTTTGATACCGTGTCATTAACTGTACCCTAAGCTACCTCTAAGCTGTGGTTTTCAAATTATTAATATATTCCACAGTGGCCAAGCTTCTATATAATGGGTTACCAAAAAGTGATGACAGCCAACAAATATGTTAGGTGTTAGCCATTTTATTAAGTGCTTTTATAATTTGTACATAAATTATAAGGAGCAGAGGCAGAATCTGAATAGAGGTTAGTTTGATTACAAAGCTTAGGCGTCTACTCCTACCTCTACATCATATAGCCTGCCTCCTTTTAGCTTTGCTGTCATGACATCTTTTGTTGAATTTATGATATTTTCTCCAAGTTATGTTCCAATGCTCCTGCACCCTAATCTGTAGTCATCCTCAAGAAATTGAGAATATTGTAATATATGCCAGTATTAACAATAAACCGCAAGCATAAACCTGCAGCTACTAAAAAAATAGACTAACTTTTAAAATTGCAAGAAACTACATATGTTATATGTATTTGGTGAAATTTTTTATGGTGTTTTCCTCCCCTGACTCAGAGGTTCTGTTTTATCAACAGCACACTCTTCCAAAACTGAAAACTGTCTGAACATGTTTATTGGGGTAACATATAGGGACTGTTGGACAAGAATTCCAGAAAATTGCTTTCACCTACCCACGTGACACTGAAGTGCTGCTGTGGATATTCCCATCTTAATCCTGGGTTTTCCCGTTTAGAAAGAGCAAATCCAGTAGCCTTTAAAGTGAGACAGATTGCTCTGTTTTTTCAAACATTATGAAGTACATAGAGCTTTTGTTCATTTTTGTCTTTTTTCCCCTCTGCTGCAAGTCAGATCCTATTGAAAACCCACTGCAAATGCAAACTCATTTGTCTTCTTTTCAAATAACCAATTTTTGATAATGTTTTGCCTGAATTTGGGATTTGGCTTTTCCTATTTATTTTTTTGCCCCCCTGTGAACTCCCTGTTACTGAAACGACATTAAGTGACCAGGCTCATTAAGTGACTTGTGTTCATTGTAAGCTTCCCCCCACCCTCAGCCCCCGTGGGACTCTGAAATAGGGCTTCCGTAGTTCTTGGCCCTTATCTGCCTAAAAGCAAGGCATAAATTTCCCTTCGTGAAGGTGGCATATACTTCCTCCCACCCACTCCTGGACCAGGATGGAAGCCAGTGACTCTTATCTTGGGAGACGGAGCCAGCACCAAGATGAGCCTGCATAAACCTTAATAAAAAAAACAACAAACTATCTTCCATTAGTTCCCCATATATTTCCTAGTTAATCCCCACAGTTGACCTCCACTGAAGCATAAATCCTCCCTTCTTTGTTAAGAAGGCTATATAAGCTCACGAATCTGCTTCTTTTAGTTACTTCGTTTTTGTGTGTGAACTCTTATGCGTGTAAAACATATTAATAAATGTGTATTCCTTTTCTCCTGTCTAAATAAATAAATAAATAAATAAATAATAAAATAGGCTTTCTTTCATTCCCTTCTACAGTAGTGAAAATTAATTACTGCCGTTGATGAAGTGAGGCTCAGAGATGATTCTTCCCTTGCCTATCATCACTTTTGACTATGAAAGCTCACTATTAATGTTTTTACAACACTCAGACTTTTCTAAAAGTTCACAGAAATTTAACAATAAAACGCTATCCCTAATACATTCCTACAAATTTCATACCTTTAAACTGTTCAAAAATTTTCCTCCTTTCAGTACTAACCATGTTTTCTTTGAGATAGTGGTGAGAGAAACAACCAGCTAAAAATATTTAAATGCTAAAAGTATCAGAACTAGGACGCGGTTCCATAGTGTAGTGGTTAGCACGTCTTCTTTACTTGCAGAAGGCCCTGAGTTCGCATCCCAGTGGAGCCACAGTCTGTGGTCTACCACCATGCCACCCTGAACAAGCCCAATGTCTGATCTTGGAAGCTAAGCAGAGTTGAACCTTGTTAGTATTTGGATGGGAGACCTCTTAGGAAGACCAGGTGCTGTAGACATAAATAATAATAATAATAAAATTTAAAAATAAATAAAAAATAAATTAAAATATCAAACTATCATAGAGAGGGCGTGGCAAAACACTCCTTAGGATGGTTGGTTCTGAGACCAAAACATCCCAAGTGGAGCAACACTGCCACCTAGAGGCTGCAAGTCTCAAATTTGCACAAACCCTTCCATAAGTTTTATTCTAGAGACTAGCACAGGCCAAGATAGCCTGTAATAAGTTTTAGTCCATCATTTCTTTAATTCTTAGAAACATAGTATGTAATTTGAGTAAAATATAAGCCTCATGTTTTTACCAAGAATTCCATAGCTGAGAAAGGTTAAATAGAACACAGCCAGCCCGGTAGAACGGAAGAAGCAACATGGAGGTCATCTAGGGGTCTGGGGCCCAGACCAGAGTGGGTCACCAACAGAGTGGGGACCTTGATAAATTCCTCAAACCTCTTCTCATCGGAGAAAAGGCCCGTAGACCTAAGGGGGATTAATCTCTCAGTGCCCAAGAACAACTTAGAAACTCAATAAAAGATTATGGTAGGAAGAAACCTAGATGCTTTGTTTCACTAGGTTTTACAAAGATAGAAAAGCAGCCATGCTTGGTCTTGATACTATCATTTACCCAAGCATAGTTTTTAAAAGTATTTTAAAAGAAACATCATCTGCTATTCATTCTAGTTCAATTTTTATTTAGCTGTCTTCCAGAGATCAAACTATTAATTTCATCTTGGTTTAAGCCATTTCATCATTTTATTCTATGAGATTTATGAGACCATAATCTCTCAACCAAGACATTTAGGACCAGATGTGCTTTAGAATTCAGAATTGCCTGAGTTTTAGAAAAGTAACTTAGTAATATACTGTATAACAATGTAATATCTCCATCAGCACTGGAACGGTACCTCTGGAGCAACACATAGGAGTAGTCACACCAAGTGGAATCAATGAAACTAGCTTCATAATCTAGTCAGTTCAAGTCTTGCTGCCAAAATAACTTTAGGTCAGGTTTTGCAACCCAAAACAAGTGAATGACAACAAAACAACAGCAAGTGAACAACAATAACAATTTCTTGATTAAGGATTATGGACTTGTAGCTGATGAAAGTCTAAATTCCAGTTAAGGAATAAATACAGTTATACCTCATCGATCTAGCATCATCTAGGAATAAGTTTCATGTGAGTTGAGTTTTGCAGACTAATGAAATTTCTTTAAATATTTTAAAGTCACTCCTTTTATCCAAATTGTTATCTTTCCAAAATATCTGTACTCTTTCTTCGTGATTCATATACCGTGAAAATTAACTATTGTACTGTATGGAAAGGTAGTGATACCCTCAAGTCTTGTTAAAGTTAGATATTTGCCCCTAGTTAAATGGCTCCAGCTCTGCTTTTGTAAGTTCTTTCTCCTTTTTATGGTTTTTATGCATCCTCCTAGGCTGTGAGACTCACTTCTTCTCTCTGACCTAAAATAATTACTAAAGACAAGTAATAATTATTAAATAATTACAAAAAGCATGGTAATTATCACAAAACCACTATTTTTATATGAATTACAGTTGAGATTTTTATATAAAAGAGTGTAATTAGGAGTAAGATCTAGACTAATAATATTTTAAATAAGAATAATTTTTTTCTATACATTTTTTATTGAGATAATTGACATATTACTTTCAGGTATACAACAGTGATTCTGTATTTGTCTATACTGTGAAATGATCACCACAATAAGTCTAGTTAACATCCATTTTCACACATAGTTACAAAAATTTTTTTTGATGAAAAAATCTACTCTTCAAGAGAAAATTTGAGAGTGTACATTTAACAAGTGCTAATGGATAAAATGATAAGTCTTCCTTAAGTTTACACACATTCATGGTCTCTTCATTGAATTGTTTGAAGTTCCCAGAAGTTGGCATATCATTTTATTCTTTCACGACGTTGCACATGGAATTACCTCTACTTGAATTGTCATATCCTTCCTTCTAAATTTAGCAACTTTCACTCATCCATCAAAACTCAGTGCAAGCTTCCTCTCCCCCGGAAAGCACCTTCCCATGCCCTCCCATTCAAGTCTGGAGGTCTTACGTATATCCCTCCATTTCATTTCGTATCGCCCCCAGCAATAGTTGATCTACCTTCTTGTCTTCTACACTATAGGTTACTCTTGGCCTTCAAGAAGTTTATGGTATTTAATGCAACTTTTTGTGCCCAGAATCTATCACAATGCCTAACACAATAAGCACAACACTCTTAAATAATTAAATGCATGCAAAAATGTGATTATAGTAAGGGCAAATTTTTTTTTTAACTGCCAAAAATAAGACTTCAAAATAGCAAATAGGTTGTTAGGGTCTCTTTTTTCGTTTACTTCATTTAAGCCGTACTTGGCCTGTGGTGGGCTGGCAGACATGCCTTTTGCCTTAAACAGCTCAAACTGCACTAGAATGAGTTGTCATCCCTACTGGTGTGTCCAGAATGCTCTTTGAGCACTAGGCCATTTACCAGCTTAAATGCTATACAAGCCCAAAGGAGGGACTGATTCTGAGTGGAGTTTCAGGATGGAGTCGCTGAGTAGCAGTTGTGAAGCAAAACTATAGTTCACAAGCAGTAGGGAGCCACTGAAAGTTTATAGCTGATTAGCATAATCAGATCTGCATTTTAGAAATAATCTTCTGGTAGCAGTTTGGAGGATGAGTTAGAAAGGAAAGGAACTGGACGTGGGAAAGCTAGTTTTCACGGCTGATGAATTAATCCAGATTGGAAATGCAGTTAGAGGGAAACGACTAGAACAGGTTTCTGAAAGAAGAGTTGATAATACGAGATGATTATTATAACTGGGGAACAGACTCAGTGAGAAAATAAAAACCTCTCTGGTCATTTTGGATGATAGGAGTTTCCGATGTTGGTTTAAAAGTATCCAGTATGTTTTTTCTAGAATCTAAAATAAAGGAATCTCTGGCTTTGTTTTTGATGATTAGACGGTTAGTTGACTTACAAAATGAGTTTCATTTAAATACATAGAATGACAACTGGGATAAGGGAAATCAATGGCTATTGAAAAAAAAAAAAACTTCATTAGAATTACAAAACCTTAAAAGTAGTCACAGAAATGGAGTTAACGAAATGCTTCTCAAGGGAATTTTGTGCACACATTACCCATACACACATTGCATGTTTGTATGCCATCTTTGATCTAGAAAAGACATTCATAAGATAGTTACAAAAGTATTTAAAGTTATACTAACTCAAAACATAAGTGAATTGTGCAATCAGTGGTTTTCCTGAGGCTTATGCTGCTCTATTTTTTTTTTTTTTTTGCACTTATTACCAGGAAAGAGGGCAGTTGCCAAATTTGCTAAGTTAGGCACTGCATACAAATGTTTTCCCCAATTGATTCGTGATAAAATCTAATTGCGAGCATCTCACTTATGCAGGTCCGAGTATTCGTCAACCAGTTATATCAGCCAAATTTAGTACGAGAAGTCAGCAAAAACCCAGATCTGCAAGCCATCCGAATTGCTTCTGTGAACCCCATCCTGGACCCGTGGATATATATCCTCCTTCGGAAGACAGTGCTCAGTAAAGCGATAGAGAAGATCAAATGCCTCTTCTGTCGCATCGGCGGGTCCCGCAGAGACCGTTCAGGACAGCACTGCTCAGACAGCAGGAGGACATCTTCTGCCATCTCTGGCCACTCTCGCTCCTTCCTGTCAAGGGAGCTGAGAGAGATCAGCAGCACATCTCAGACCCTCCTTTACATGCCAGACCTCGGTGAGAACGGCCTCGGCGGCAGAAATTTGCTTCCCGGTGTGCCGGGCATGAGCCTGCCCCAAACCGACACCACCTCCCTGAGGACTTTGCGAATATCAGAGACCTCGGACTCCTCACAGGGGCAGGATTCGGAGAGTATCTTATTGGTGGATGAGGTTGGGGGGAGTAGCGGGGCTGGGCCTGCCCCGAAGGGGAGCTCCCTGCAAGTCACATTTCCCAATGAAACACTGAACTTATCAGAAAAATGTATATAGTAGCTGAAGAAAGAAATACAGCACTATTTCTGGAAGCTTACAAAATCCTGTGCAATAGACACATAAATGAAATGTTTAGCTGTGCTCAGAAGGGCTATTTTTGTCCTGTGACTCACATTAGAAAACATCTGGTTTTTGAATGCTTTTTAAACAAGTTGATTCACGTGGCTCTGAGGTCTGAAACACATTGGTGGCCACTACTCAGTGACACAGGATTTCAGTCAGAACTTGACTGCTGGGAGGATCTACCTTCAGTTTTCTACTTGACAGGAGGATGACAGAAGTTTTATTTTCATAATGTCAGGAACTTTATATCTGGCACACAGCAAAAAAAAAGGCCAGGTATGGAAGGGCTTTTGTCCAATAAAGTATAAGGACTATCTTATGGATGATTTAAGTCTCACTAAAGCATGAAATGTGAATTTTGTTGTTGTAAATATGATTTAATGTATTTAAAGTATTTTCTTCTCTGTGAGAAGGTTTATTGTTAATACAAGGTATAATAAAATTATAGTAGCCCCTCTCCACCCAATATAACCAGCTGACGTTGCAGATGTTAGATTTTTTTCATATACAAATTGAAGCCAAGCTGTTAAAAATTCACAGTGAAATTCCTATTAATAAAATAGATATAGATTTTCAAAAGAGTTTGGTACTATTAAAAGAATAAAGAAAAGAACTATTTTAGACATGAAAATTATAGTCCAAAATATTGAAGTTCTTTCCAAACTATGTACAATACATTGTGAAAATTTTTAAGTGATGGCTACATGTATTTATCCAGAAAACTGTGATTTCAGGAAAACCTAACATGCTGGCAAATATTTTCTACTTTTGTCCTCACAAACTGGTACTTTTTAAAATGTAATATAAATTTTAAAAAGTCTTTAATGAATAACCCATAGCTGAAGTGTACAATATAAAAAGTCTAAGCAGTTTGTTTTCTCCTTAAAATTGTGTATAGTTTTACTTTCCTAAGGAATGTCTAGAATATCCTTTAAAATTTAAGAGGAAGACTGACTGCACCATAACGGCCTTTACTTTGAGATGTGAAAGGATTGGTTAAATTAGCCTTTCACAGATATCCTAAGAGTCTAACAAGATAAGGAAAGGGGTGCAGAATGTGGGCACATAAAGGTCACCTAACAGTTTTTTGTCACGCCCAGTAATGCTGTACATTTATTTGAAGGAAACTTTCTCAAAGAAAAATTAAGCATGTTTTGTTGCTTAAAGTGTTTTTGTGAATCGCCTGATTGTAATTAAATTCTGAGCCTGATAGTGATATGGTTTTAAGAAGCAGTTGTACCAACTGAAATTATTTTGGAGATTATAATAAATAAATACACTCAATCTGAGTTCCATATCCTTGGTTTTGAAGAACTGCGACTTTTGCTTGTTTCAGGTTATCTTCTGTATCTTTTTCAGTTGGAATATTCAATTTTTTTAAATTTTAAAATGTCAAATTTAGAGAAAAGTTGCAAGAATAGTAGAAAGGCTTGAATCCACTTACTGGAGAATGGTATTTCGAAACCAAGATCTGGGTGAGGAGTGTACTCAAAATCACCAGTTTGTATAGGTGGGTAGTTGGCGAGACAGTATTTATTCCTGCTTGTAAGCAGTCGAGATAAATACTTCTCAAACTTTAGCATGTGTCAAGAGTCACCTGGAGAGCTTAAAAACAGTTTCTGATTCAGTAAGTCTGGGGATGGCGAGGGGTGGGGGATGTCATTTCTAAAAATCTCCTAGGTGATGCTGACGCTGCCAGTATGAGGATACACTTTAAGTAGTAATAATCCCCAGGAGCGAGGTCATAATTTGCTATTTGCAAGTTTTTAAATATATCTTTGGATGATGTCATATAAACGAGACTCATTTTCACAGACCTGATGGAACGGCGATTCTCAGCTGAGGTAGGGATAGCTCAGAAAAGGAGCATCCAGCTGAAACTTCTAAAATGTTCTGTTTCACCAATAGAAGTAGTTCTAAGTCACCAATTTATGCTAACCCATGCCTAAGAAACAATGTTTTCAGAGGATATTTTATTTGTGAAAGAGGCTTTTGTTTTTCTCCCGCATATACCAACAATAAGACAACACCTAGATTTTTATGTGTGTGCATATGTGTTTATGTATGTATGTATATATAATATAAAATGTTTATCACCCATGTTCATGGGGGAAAACAAGCCTTGTTCACAAGTTAACATTGGTAATATTCAGGGCATAATCTCACTCATTCTTTACTTCAAGTTCACCATCCAGAACACCGATTCTGGCTAATTTTTTAAATTGAAATATAATTTGCATATAAAATTTGCCCTGTATTTTCATATGCTCACAAAGTGCAACCAACTAATTCTAGGCCATAAGCATCATCCCAAAAAGAAAACACATACCTATTTGCATTCACTCTATTCTCTGACTCCAGCCCCTGGCAACCACTATCTGGATCTGCCTATTCTGGACATTAATGAAATCATATAATATGTGGTCTTTACTGTCTGGCTTTTTTCACTTAGCATATGTTCGCAGTTCATCCATGTTGTAGCATGAATCAGTATTTCATTTCCTTTTTATGGCTGAATTTTTCATTATGTGGATATACCACATTTGTTTATGTATCGGTTGATGAGCATTTGGGTTGTTTCCACTTTTTGGCTATTAATAATACAGTATCTTTGTACAAGTTTTTGTGTTAACATGTTTTCGATTCTCTATGTACCTGGGAGTAAAATTGCTGGGTTATACGGTAACTATGTTTAATTTTTTAAGGAACTACCAAACTATTTTCCCAAGTGGCTGTACCATTTTACATTCCCACCAGCAATGTACAAGGGTTCCAATTGCTCCACGTCCTTATCAATACTTGTTATTGTCCATGTTTCTGATTATACCCATCCTACTGAGTGTGAAGTGGTATCTCACTGTAGTTTGGATCTGCGTCTTTCTAGTGGCTAATAATGTAGAGCATCTTTCCACGTGCTTGTTGGCCAAATGTGTATATCTTATCTGGAGAAATGTCTATTCAAATTGCTCATTTTTAAAATCGGGTTATATGTCTTTATTAGTTTGCTAGGGCTACCATAACAAAATACCACAGAGTGGATGACTTCAACGGAAATTTATTTTCTCACAGTTCTGGAAGCTGAAATTTCAAGATCAAGGTTCTGGAAAGCTTGGTTTCCCCTGTATCCTCTCTCTGTCTTGCAAATAGATGGACACCTTCTTGCTGTACTGTCACACGCATTCCTGGAGTTTTTCTTCTTATAAAGATACCAGTCATATTGGCCCACCCTAATGACCTCATTTAACCTGAATTATCTCCTTAAAGGCCCTATCTCCAAATACAGTCACATTGGGAGTTAGAGCTTCACCATGTGAGTTGAGAGGGGACACAATCCAGTGCATAACAATGTCTTTATTGTTGTGTCTGGCTTATTCTTAAAAGAATAACCAATGAAGGTAAACTCTAACATTGTATGCCTTCCATGTTTTTTTCATAAGGCTTACCAGTTATGTTATGCAAAGATGGTTTCTTACTGTAGGAAGCTTGTTCTAGACCATTTAGAGCTTCAAATTTTCTGTGCGAGAAAGTTCTGATTGTCTAATTGGCTAGTATTAAATCTTACCTGGTCCCAAAAGGATTTAGCAGACAAGTAATTTTAATACCATCTCAGAATCTTTGACAATCTGACCAATCAGGTCAATTATGTTAGAAAAGATTATGAGATTGGTAGAGCAATTAAGGTACTTTGACCAAAAGACCATGGACTGAAAGAGTCTTTTCCCAAAGCACAGTGACTCCTCTCCACAAGTTTCTTACTGGAGCCACAAAACAAAGGGCCATGAAAAAAAATCAAGGCAAATTTGAATTTACTGTCAGCTATGCCTTTGGTCATAAACCTTAATGCAGAAATACTCATTTTCCTTAAATTACTTGTACTAGTTTTAGGACAATACGAGCCATGAAGTTTGCTCTCTTCCACCACTCCCACCACCAAACCTGAGTCTAAGATGCTGCAAGAATCATCTCATGATTGCTCTCCATATATACCTGAAAAGGACCAGCAAAACAGACTCATAGCAAGAGAGAACACTGAATTTTACATGCTACAGGGTCAATATACAAAATTGATTGTATTTCTATGTAATAGTATCTAACTGGAAAATAAAATTTGAAAAGCACTCCTTGTAATAGCATCAAAAATATGAAATATTTAGGGACAAACTTAAAAATATGGGCAAGATCTATTCACAGAAATTTAAAAAGCATTACAAAGAGAAATTAAGACCTCAAACAGTGAGTTATGCCATAATCATGGATTCAAAGACATGACATTGTTAGATAGAAATTCTTCCCAAACTGATTTATAGATTCATCTCAATTCCAATCAAAATCCCAGGAGACTTGCATGTAGATAGAGACAAGTAGATTATAAAATGTATATAGAAGGGCAAAGAAACTAGAATAGTGGAACAATTTGGTGGGAGGAAAGAACAAAGTTGAAAAAATCACATTGCTACTTGACTATAATTTTTAAGCTAGAAAAAAATTTTTTAAGCTAGTAATCGAAACAGTGGTATTGTCATCAGGATAGACATATAGATCAGTGTAACAGATTATAAAGCTCAGACAAATCTTCAATACATGGTGAACTGATTTTCAGTAGAGATGCCAAGGTATTTCAACAGCAAAGGGCAGTTTTTCAATGAGTTGTGCTTGAATAACTGGACATTAAAAAAAAAAACAAACCCTCAACCCTCATACTTACATAAAAATTTACTTGAAGTAGATCACAGACTTAATTATAAAAGTTAAAACTATAAAACTTTTAGCAGAAAACAAAGACTCTGATTTTGGAGTAAGTACAGATTTCTCGGCATACAGAAAGCACTACCATAAAAGAAAAAGAAAAATAGGACTTCATCGAAATTAGAAACGTCTGTTCTTCAAAAGGTATCATTAAGAAAAAAAGGCGATTTTTGTTTGTCAAGATGGTGGAGTAGGTAAACACTGTGCTTGCCTCCTCTCACTACCACATCAAAATTATTTCTAAACTACAGACCAACCATCATTGAAAATCACCTGTCTGGCTGAACAGAGTCCTAGAGGTAAGGACATACAGAAGAAGCCACCTCGAGACTAGTAGGAGGGACGGAGATGCAGACTGGGCTGGTCTCACATTCCAGCGTGGTGGTTAAAAATGGGTAGGGATATCTTGGCTGTGGAGATCCCCCAGAAGAGCAAGGGATCCTAGCCCCACACCAGGTTCCTCATCCCAGCATTCTGGCACTGGGAAGAGACAGTCCCTAGAAAACCTGGATGTGAAAATCAGCAGAGATTGTGGCTGAACTAGATGGAGGGTGACTGGATTTCTAGGTGTTGCTCTTAAAGAGCACGCGCATGGACTGACCTCCTGACAGACTCATTCACTCTTAGCTCCACTAGTGGGGCAGCAGCTAAAAGTATGCCAGGGATATATGAAAAGAAACTGAATTTTCTGGCTTCAGGGAGAGGGCTGGAAGCTTTCTCCCAGACAAAAGTGCTGGTGGAGGCCACTCATCCTTTGTTGGGCCCTCCCCCAACCCAGCATGCAGGTGGCCGCCACTTCTGAGTCTCCATCAACCTGGTTAACACTGGTTATCCTGCCCTGGTGATTCTGAGACCCCACCCCACCCAAATTGCAGGCCTATGCAAGCTGCTCCCAGTGGCTTTTCTATACAGATGGCCTATCTTGGCTCACACTGAGGACTTTTCTGAAATCGCTCAGAGGTCCAGAAAATCTAAACAAGCAGCATCTGGCTTTGGCATGTCCCGTACCTCTCTCTGAGCAGCCAAAGCCTGGCATTAGCAGCAGCCAGCCTCAGTTCATGGGTTGGTCTCTCAAGGCACCTCCAAGCCCAGAGTGGGTGGCAGCGATCTGCGGATTGCTTGGTGACTCAGGCCAGGTGGCCCCGGACAGGGCACACATGGCAGCTGAACACAGCCTGTGGCAGGGCCACTCCCAGGAGATCTCAGGGACCGGCATGCCTGGTAACCAGCTTCAGATTGATCCAGAGCACCACCCAAGCTCACATCCAGATGAAACACCCAAAGGGCAGACTGGGCAGGCACCAGAACCCTGCTAAAGAGAATCCTGCTCCATAGGGTCAGCTCCCACTGATGTGCAAACAGCAATCAAGGCTCAGACTACAACAGGAGGGCACACAAAGGACATACCTGGAGCACCAAGCTCAGGTGACCAGGGAGACTACGCCACTGGGCCCCACAGGACACCTACTACCTAAGGCCACTCTAAGAATGGGAGACATGGCAGCCCTACCTAATATATAAACACAAAAATAGGAAAGCAGTCAAAATGAGGAGACAAATATGTCCCAAATGAAAGAACAGAACATAGCTCCAGAAAAGAAATTAAACAAAATAGAGACAAGCAATCTACCAGATGCAGAGTTTAAAACACTGGTTCTAAGAATGCTCAAGGAACTTAGGGGAAGAGTAGATGAACTCTGTGGGAACTTTAACAAAGAGACAGGGAACATAAAAATAGAGACAGAAAACATAAAAAATAACCAGTCAGAAATGAAGAGTAGAATACCTAAAATGAAGAATACATCAGAGGGAATCAACAGTAGATTAGATGAAGAAGATAATCGAATCAGCAATTTAGAAGATAAGGTAGCAGAAAACACCCAATCATAACAGCGACAAGAAAAAAGAATCCAAAAAAATGAGGATAGTTTAAGGGGTCACAGGTGTACCAACATTTGCATCATAGGGATACCAGAAGAAGGAGAGAGCAAGGCGTTGAAAATCAATTTGAAGAAATAATGACAGAAAACTTTCGTAACCCAGAAAGGAACTAGACCTACAAACCCAGGAAGTGCAGAGAGTCCCAAACAAGATGAACCCAAACAGGCTCACACCAAGACACATCATAATTAAAATGACAAAGATTAAAGACAAAGAGAGACTCAGAAAAGCAACTAGAGAAAAGCAGTTAGTTACCTACAAGGGAGCTCCCATGAGAGTGTCAGCTGATTTCTTAACAGAAACTTGGCAGGCCAGAAGGGATTGGCATGAAACGTTCAAAATGATGAAAAGCAAGGACCTACAATAAAGATTACGCTACCTAGCAAAGCTATCATTTAGAATCAAAGGACAGATAAAGAGCTTCCCAAAAAAGAAAAAGCTAAAGAAGTTCATCACCACCAAGCCAGTATTACAAAACATATTAAAGAAACTTCTTTAAAAAAAAAAAAAGATAAAAAGATATGAATAATAAAATGGGAATAACTACATATCTATCAAAAATTACTTTAAATGTAAATGGATTAAATGCTCCAATTGAAAGACAAGGTAGCTGAATGGATAAGAAAACAAGACCCTTACCTATGCTGCCTAACAGAGACGAACTTCAGATTGAAAGACACACAGATTGAAAGTAAAGGGATGGAAAAAGATATTTCATGAAAATGGAAACAAGCAAAGATAAAAGCTTAGGTAGCAATACTTACGTCAGATAAAAACAGACTAAAACAAAAGCTGTAACAAGAGACAAAGAAGAACTCACCAATTCCACTTCTGGGTATTTATCTGAAGAAACCGAAAACACTACTTTGAAGGGACATGTGAAACCGTATGTTCACTGAAGCATTATTTACAGCAGCCAAGATATGGAGGCAATCTGGGTGTCTATCAGTGGGTGAATGGATAAAGAAGAGGTGGTACATATATACAACGGAATATTACTCAGCCATAAAAAGAGAATGAAATCTTGCCATTTGCAAAAACATGGACAACATATATACAACGGAATATTACTCAGCCATAAAAAGAGAAAGAAATCTTGCCATTTGCAACAACGACCTACAGGGTACTGTGCCGAGTGGAGTAAGTCAGACAGAAGACAAATGCCATATAATTTCACTTACATCTGCAATCTACAGAACTAAACAAACAAACAGAAACAAACTCATAGATACAGAGAACATTTTGATGGTTGCCAGATGGGAGGGGTGTTGGAGAGGGTGAATAAAAAAGGGGAAGGGATTAAGAAGTACAAATTGGTAGTTGCAAAATAGTCATGGGGATGTAAAGTACAGCATAAGGAATATTGTTAATAATATTGTAATAACTATGTATGCTGTCATACGGGTACTAGATTTATCAAGGTGATGACTGTAAGTTATATCAATGTCTAATCACTATGTTGTAAACCGGAAACTAATACAACATTGTATACGAACTGTAACTGAAAAATTAAAAAAAAATTCTTAAAAATGAAAAAAAAAAAAACCCAAAAGGCAAGCCACAGATGAGGACAAAATATTCACAATACATATAGCTCATAAAGGATTTTTATTTAGAACATTAAAAAAAAATCTCACAACTCGATAAGATAACCCATACAAAATATGGGCAAAATATTTGAAAAAGCACTTCCCAAATGAAGATAAACAAATGTCAAAAAGACACATGAAAAGATGCTCAACATCATCAGAGAAATGCATATTAAAACCACAATGAGCTACCACCACTACACATCCACTAAAGTGGCTCCTATTAAACACAATGACAACACCATGTATTGACAAAGATATGGAGCAACTGAAACTTTAATACATTGCTGGTAGGAATGCAAATGATACAACTACTTTGGAAAAGTTTCACAATTTCCTCTAAAGTTACACATATACTTACCATAAGACTTAGCAATCCCACCCAAAGTATTTACCCAAAAGAAATGAAAGCCTATATCCACACACAGACTTGTGACATATACACATAGCAGTTTTATTCATAAGAGATCAAAACTTAAGATATTCATTAACAACCTAGATGTCCATCAACAGATATGAAAAGCTACAAATTGTAGTCTCTTCGTAAAACAGAATAATGCTCAGCAAAGAAAGAAACGTATTACTGATATGCATAATAAAATGGATGAATCTCAACGCAGATTTCAAAAGTATTATGCTGAACAAAAAATGTCAGATTCAGAGTACAGGCTGTATGATCTATTTATTTGAAATTCTAGAAAAGTCTAATCTAATTTATAGTCACATAAAGCAGATAAGTAGTTGAATAGTGCTAGTTGTTGGGGTGGTAGAGAACTGACTGTGAGCACTGGAGAACTTTTTTGGGTGGTGGGAATATTCTACATTTTGATGGTAATAGTGATTGCATAGGTATTCACATTTGTCTAAACTCAAACTATAAATTTATAAAGGGTGCATTTATTATATGAAAATTATACTTTAATAAAGTCAACAGGGTGGGCAGAGGATACCATGGTTCTTTTTACATTCTTCCCTTCCAATTAAATCTAGAGTCAATATTGTGGTCTACTACAATTCCAAAGTCAATAGACCTTTTAAATATCCTGAATAAATGTTTACAAGTTACCTTGTTATTAAGGAGAATTTCCATGATTTAAAAAAAAATCTAAAATAAATAATTTCCCAATTTGTTTTTGTCTCATGCTTACTTTGAAATATAAGCTACACTAATCTTTGTTGGGGTTGGAGCAAATCATAATAGCCTTTGTCCCCTCCTGATTTCTGAGCTACTCGAGACAAAGAGAGTCAGGCAGATAGAGATTCAATATGTGTCAGATTTATTATCAGATGTGATGTCAGAAGAAGTCTCAGTTAGAGGATGTACTTTTAGGTTTGTGCCAAGAATGACCACCTAATGTCAAAGCCAGAATTAGGCAGACCTGTTCATCCAGGCATGGGCGGTCCTGCAAACCACCGGTTTTCCCTTGCAAATGCAGAGCCTTCTCTGCAAAAATTACATGTCTGGCAAGGGACCACAACATAGGCTCTCTGCAGGCATGACAAATCCAAAAGAAGGGGAGAAAGGACGTTTTATGTCCAGTTATTTATCCTACACTCCCTCTCCTGAGGAGGTGGAAGGAAGGAAGAAGGGAGAGATCAGGATTCCTTGGTTAGTGGATGTCCAAAGAGCACTGTGAAAGGAAGCCACCTCCACCCTCTGCCTTCCCAACACAAGGTAAATTAACATTTCTCAACCTTTCACAACAGGTGAAGTTCACAAACAGCACACATTAAGGCACAATTCATTGTACATTAGTTGTAGGGTCACTCCTTCGCTTCCATTCAAGTGGGCATATTTAATTGTAAGTGACTAAGGTGACATATTTCAGTTTACTTTGGTAATGAGTAAATCATTTACAAATTTCTATATTTTATTACTGGTTAAGAAAACATTACTTTGTCAATCCTAAAATGCCATCAATTACAAAATACACCATCAGTTTAATAGTAATCTCTCAGGAAAAAAACACATTTACTGTAGCCATTGATTTGAAGATAATTACCAAACTATAGCTCTTGTGTCAATTCACAACTCATTTAGATACGTTATGTCATGAAATCAAAGTCCAGAGTCAGTTTAGAAGGGCTTCTGACTCACGAAGCCTGAAATTAAAGAAATGACAATTTCCTACTGCCGGGAATGGCAATGAAACGAGTTCTGACATCATTACATAAAGCATAATTTTCAAACTAAAAAGGCTATACTAATCGGTTATAATCATGGAAACTCCAGCTTTCTGAGACAAAACATTTTTAAGTCTTCGTTATAGTTTTGCCATATAACATCAATTTAAAAGCTTTTCCTACTGAGACTGCCATACAATTTTGACATAGACCTCAACTGTAGTAGCTTTAGGTTCTTGCACGACTTTTCAAAGTTTATGTAGTATTTGTTAGTACATTTAAAATAAATATTCTATATAATCTAAGAACCTATTGTCTAGAGAATACTAAATAATCTCAAATTATCAGGCACAGTCTTGGCGAGTAGTGTTCTGACTAATGAGTGTCTATGCCATATAATTTTCAAACAAGAAAAATACAAATTATAATCGAGTTAATTTCAGTGTTTAGTGTTGTTTCAGAAAGTATATTAAACATCTTTAATTATATTACTATCATGAACATGAATTATTTTTCTTTCAGATTCAAATAATTTGTTATTACAGTTAACAAGCTTAGTAAATGTCAGATATCAATATTCACATCCTTATAAAATAATGTATACATTTTTCTCTTCAGGCATTGAAGAGCATTAGCTAAGCATCTTTTATGGCCTAGAAAAAAGAAAGTTGCTTTCTTTCTCCACAACTCACTATTATTTTTCCTCCTCTATCTTATGTGTAAACCATCTTATGTCTTATATCTGAGTAAGGAAGAGACGATTCTGACCTACCAATGTCAATAGAGAGGAAACACAGGGTCTTTAAACATCATATAGTGGCTATATGTACCCCATCCTGGGTCTTGCCTCTTTTGGGTTGAGGCATAGACTTTATACCAAGACGAATCCCCAACTGATAACCATCTGTCCTATAATATCAGAAGTAGTGACTTCTCACTTTTAAACAAAGGAAAGATTACAAAGAATTTCTCTTCCTTTCTTAAAATTAGAAGAAACTGAAGTTAAAACTAATTCAAGTTCTTCAAAGAAAAAGCTAGCATTTACTGAGTACTTTATATGTGAGATATTATACAAGGTGCTTTACATATTTTATTTTCATATAAGAAAGAAATTAATAAATCAATCTAATTTTTCGAAAGCTAACAGCACAAAATAGGCAAATCTTTAAAATATAGAAGAAAACTATTTATTCACAAATTACACAATAAACAAACACTCATTATTCAAAACAACATACCAAATAAGTGCTCACTTTTCTAGATACCCAACTATCTAACGTTTGAGAATATTTCTTATTAAATAAAATAACAAATAATATTTGTTTTTTGGATCATTCTAAAATTAACCTCTCTAACCAGAGCTAATTTTATAATGTAACTATGGGGGAAAATATAATACTTTTCAAGGCAAGTGCTAACTTCTCTGATTCTGAAAAAGAGGTAAACATTCCGCTAAAAGAAAATAATTTTTAAATCATCTCAGAAAAATTTAGACAATTACTTACATGCTCCAACAGAATAAGACTTCTGAAAATAAAGTAACTTACTTTCATCTTTAACAAGAATAAAATTAATTTTACACCAATAATAGATTCCTGAGTGTCAGAAGTAACAGTACCCAGTAGTTCTATATAATTGTACTACAATATGTATAATATAAAATAATTCACGTTAGCAATGACCATATTGATTTGTGGACATAACTGTAATGTTTCAATGAACTATTTCTTCAATATATCCTTCTCTACTCGTGCGATCATGCCGTAAATTACATTTCAGTTTCCACTTATGCTGTACCTAACTTATTCACTCATTGGTACTCTAACAATAACATTTCTATGTTGTTTTTTAGAAAGATATAATTTAGCTGTTTAAAATTGTGATCATTTCTCGTTTCACTGAGTAGTTATGAACAAGTTATCTAAAAAGGAATTCCAAACCATTAGCTGAAAAATTATAAGCAAAAGCAAGTTATTTTCAAGGTTTTTAAGCTGTTTAAAATAAAATACTGCTTTGACTAGGACAACATTGCAGTACAATATATAATGTAGCTTAAAGGGCCATTCATTTTTTTTTTTTTAAATGCACATCTTAAAAATGACTCGTTTGTGGTAAGGACTATCTACTTTAACAATTAAAAAAATAAAACCATCATTCTTACATTTATCTGTACTTCACACATCTAACAAATACTGAAGATGGCAACTACCATGGTTATAATTTTAAAGTCAAAACATTAGCACAAATCAGAATTAAGAGAAACTACAGAAAATGTTCAGAATGTACACATTCGCATGCATTTCCAGCCAAACTTTCAAAGAGTCTACATATAACCAAATGACAATTTTGAATCAAAATGAATGTCAAAAATTTTCAAGCTTTGTGACAGACTTACCCTAATGAAAGAAGAAAAACAGAAGAAAGAATTGTAACAGCAGTATATTTTTAGGAGGGAAAGAAATCACCTACTTCCTTTATCATAAAACAGAAGTCAACAAGTCAACATTTTAATAACACTGGCCATCAAGTTATTCACTATTTGAGAATTTACTTTTCAAGTTGTGTCTTTAAAATGTATTCACTTATATATTTGGATTATTTATTAATCAAAAACCATTTTGTTCAGAATTCTAATTTTAAGAAGTTTAAATCATAACTTATCAAAGCATAGTCCAAACACTGTACAATAATTCTACCATTTAGTTTTTATATACCTCATCTGAAAAATTTATTTTACAAACAGGAGTTTCTCTATGTTTCTCCAGAGTAAATGCCCCTATGCCTAAAGCTTTAAGTGGCAATCAAAAAGATAGATTCAAATAATTTCTATGCTTCATCGGGCTTTGATAAAAACAGAGCCATCTGGTGGTAGAGCACCATCTTCCTTCTCAGTTACAGTCTCTACAGTACCAGAAGCTGACACAATAACCATTGTTTTATTTGCTGAAACTGTCTTCTGTTTTTCAGCAATAGCTGCACAAACAGCAACAATCTCATCACTTTCAAAGTCGTAGTCAGGAATTGACTTTGGAGAGATATGTGTTACTTCCACTGGTGCTTCACTTTTTTTAATCCTCTGGGCTACCTTCTGCTGCTCCTGAAGCGTTCTTGCCCAAGAAAGGTCTTCTTTCCATATTTCAGGGTTCATTGGATAGATGTGAAGGGCTACTTGAAAACTTCGAATTGCCTAAAGAAAAAAAGGTTAGGGTTTTTCGTTTGCTTTGTTTTAAAAAATGAGTATATTTAACATAATCCATATATGTCTTTTTTTTTTTTTTTTAACATAACAGAATGTAAGAATGATAGAAAGGTCAATTCCTCAGAAAGATAAAACAATTATAAATATATATGCATCCAACATCAGAACACCTAAGTATATAAAGTAAACATTGACAGAACTGAAGGGAAAAATAGCTATAGATCAATAAGGAAACACAAGTCTTGAATAACACTATAAATCAAAGGGACCTAACAAACCTATACAGAACATTTCACCTAACAGCAGCAGCATATACATTATTCTCAAGCACATGTAACATTTCCAAGATAGATCACGTTATATTACATATCAAGTCTTAACAAATTTAAGAGGATGCACCAGGTATCTTTTCTGACTACACTGGAAAAAACTAGAAATCAATAGCAAAAAGAAAACTGGAAAATTTAAAAATATGTAGAAATTAAAGAAGAAATCAAAAGAGAAATTAGAAAATATCCTTACATGAATGAAAATGAAAATATAACATACTAAAATTATGGGATGCAGCAAAAGCAGAACTAAGAGGGAAATTTATAGCAATAATGCCTATGTTAAGAAAAGAAAGATCTTAAGTAAAAAGTCTATTTTTGTACCTCAAATTAGAAAATGAAGAACTAAGCCTATAATCATTTTCCAACATACATACCCAATTCTGCATAAAAAGCTAAATAATTACTCATAGAGCTATATCCAACTATTGACTTTTAATTTACTGCCTGTTCTATTTAAATATACATTTTCTTATGTTTTAATCCATACATATATATAGTAAGAATTGTTAGATGTTAGAAATTTTAGCTTGCTTTCAATATGTTTTTCATAGTATCCCTTCATTACGACATTCAGTAAAGTCATTTTTTAACTATTCCAGTCTTTCAAAAGAAGAGATGAAGTGTACATAAAAATGACAAGTTTAGATTTTTTAAGTAGAGCCCTAAAAAACATTAAATGAGGACAAAATAACACTTTTAATTCCTCCAAGAATTTCACAATATAGTGGAGAGAATCATTATCAATAGAAAAAAACAAAAACCTAGTTGAACAACTAGTACTCTTATTTTAAAAACTTTAAATATTGAATAATTTTACTTTTATTGGTTGTTTTAAAGTATTTGTTATCTCATCTGCAGTACATTTTCTTTATTTTTAGGAGAATTTTTGCTAAACATTCTATCCTAGAGATTTTTTTCCATTATCTAATAGGCACTTACAAGCAAAAGATATAATGATCTGTAAGTTTAAAAAAAGAAGAAATAGGAAAAAGTATTACATGATAAATTTTTGTTGTTTTCCTGTTAGCTTATTAGAAAACCAAATTCTTGAATTTCTTTTTCCAATTCTGCGATGATTTAAGTCTTCAGGAGAGAAAAGATGACTATGTTAAATGGCAAGGAAAGAAAATGGCCTTTGGCTGATCTGGTTTCTGTCACAATATCATTTTTAAGTTACTCTACTCCAATTGATTATTTTCTCATCAAAATTTCCTACTTATTATTTTTGAGAATTTGACAAACATCTTTTTTTTTGTAAACAGAAATAATAATATATTTACAAGAGTGCCAGAAAAACCTAATTTATCTACAACTTACTAAAACCATTGTTAGCCAAGTTAAATTCCTGGTTTACCATTTTTTTTTAGCCTTTAACGAAAATTTTTTATTTGTTTTTAATTATTTTGTCTTATTTTTAACCATAAAAGGCCAAGAAAAGCATGAAAAATCTTTATTTACTTAATGACGAAAAGGAAATTTGGCAACATTACATTAGATTTGCAAACATTTTTTTGGAAATTAGCTGTCATCAGGGATATAGAAGCCCTGCCAAAACAAAAATAGGACAATTCTCAGAGCTAACAATCACCTCCTTGGCCTTTGTGACCTACAAGGTATAGTTCAGACAAGTTGAGAAATGCTTTAAGTACCAGGTTATAGTAAACTTTACACAGTATTTAATTTTTATAAGCTTCTACTCTTCCCCGTTTTTCCTCTCACTAAGCTTAGCAATTTTTCAGTCCAAATAGTTATCACCACTACGCTCCCATATTCTACTTTCTTCCCTCCCTAGCATAATCTTTTAGTGGTTTTGTCTCCAAAGTAATACTAATGGTACTTCATAATGTACTATATTTGATGATGAAAAGAACTAACTTGAAAGTTGCTTATTTTATATTTAAATAACATTTACCAAATGTCAATGTTTTATGTTAAAAATTTTTTTTAATGTCCGTGATTCCAAATACCTGAAAAATATTCTGACCCTTATATAAATGGCATTTATAACGGAAAAAAATGTTTGGTAATAACTCTGATTTGTGTTTATCATTTAATACCTTTAGGAGATAATTTGTTATTCAATTTTTGCATAGATTTGATACATGACTAACCTTTGGGTTTAGCTGATCAAAAACATGTAAAAATAAAATATCAGCAGTATAATCACCTGACTTCCTTACCAAGACTATCTCTCCTAATCCAAGCTGAGCACGCCCCAAAGTTTGCCAAGACTCCCATGAATGTGGATTTCTCTGAACAGCCATTTCTGCTGCATGAACTGCAGGAAACATTTCATGAAGAGACATCAGAACCTACAGCCAAAAAGAAAAAAAACAAAACCTGTCAGTAATATTCATAAGCTAAAAAACTACTAATGGATAACCATACATAAACAACTCTTTTCATTTTTAAAAATATATTTTTAGTCTGGCAAACATAGCATTTCAGTGGTTTTGACCCCCTCCTCTGCCATTTGGAGTCAGGAATTATATTATTCTTCCTACTCCTAAAATAACTATAAAAATATAAACTATTCATTTTTTAATTATTAACCTTATTATCCATCTTGTCAAAACCATGCAGTCATACTAGCATGGTGGCTCAGAGCTATTTGATCTCTCAACTTCACTTCTATTTATTCTTTACAATGTGGTTTAAATGTGGTTTTCAGGGTACCCCAGGACTTGCTGTTAAACTAGGTAAATTTAAATTTATTCAACCACTCATCTTGGCCCTAGTGAACATCTTCCTACTATAAAAATTATTTAAACACTCCACAGGCCTCCACACAACTGGGTTCTTCATACCATGCAAACCAGAAAAATCAAGTAGTTCCAGAACCTTCTACCTTCTACCCACGAGAAAGGGCTGGATTTTATCTATAATCTTTGGGACCATATGCATTTCACATAATTTGAGACACAATCATCATTATCAGGTTCCAAATTAAACAACTCATTTCATACAGTTTGCCACAAATTCTGCCTTTAATATATATATATATATTCAAGATTGAAAATTAAAGACTTATCCAAATGAAGGTCCTCATAGCACTTCATTCAGTAGATGTAATTTATTTGGGCTTTTCCTGGATAAACCCAAATCGAAGCTGATAAAAAATGTGCCCTATGCTTGAGATCATTAACTGAAAGATTCTGTTGAGTGTGTAGATCAAGGCTGAATGACAACTACTCCTTGCCAAAAATATGTGTAATACTCTGAGATTTGAAATCTCTTGGATAACCTAATCTAGGTGCTCAAAGGTTTTCTTTATCAACTTTCCTATAAAATAGTAGATATGTATTTTTAAGTGTAAATGTTATTCTTAAACTATTAATAAACCGAGTCTATTCTGACCTTTGGCTAAGGACTAGGCCATTTTTAGAGAAATATCATCATCCAGAATCCAATCCATACCAATTCTGAAGAAACTTAGTTATTGCTAAGTCTACTACACTTAATTTCCAAGGAAAGCAAATACATTTCATTTATTTAGAAGATCACTAGTGACTTTTTAAAAGATATTCATCTGCTCATATCTTACCATAGTTAGGTTGAAATAAGTTAACTTCATTGTGAAGGTAAACAAATTTCTAACTGGACACATAAGGAAGAGCTATAAATAATATGGTAACTTATTTTTTCCCCCCAATAAATTGTATTTTAACAAGAAAATGGAAGAAAATGCTATTTTGGTTTATCATTGCTCACCAAACAAACGTAGTGCAATTTCATAATGAAAGTGAAATTCTTTATGATCATTACCTGTGATTTCATCTCATATAGGGTAGCATCATTTGGGGTTAACTGTAGTGCTTCATCCCACTTCTGAATCGCCTCTCGATATCTGTAGTTGTTAAAGTTACATTAATATCATATTTTCAATAAGTCCTTGAGAGTACATGACCAAATTTAAAAACCAGATAGTAAGGAATAATTGTTCATCAAGAAATATAGCTATTCAAGAACTGACAATAATGATGTTACAAAGAGCAAGAAATTTTAAGAGATAAAGGGAAAGGAGAGCAAAAGAGGAAAAGGCAAAATATAAATGAAAATATAAATGAAAATATAATCTCGCACGCACTCTGGGCTGAGAAATAACCAGAATGTCTCTTTTTTTCATCATCCTCAATGTCTGCACATGTTGTCATTCATTTTAGATATGCTATAAAGAACTTTTCGTAGGAATTTACAATCCAGTTGCAACCCTGGGCTCTACTGCGGTAACCTAGCTGATAGCGACAACGATTTAAAAGTTTCCAGGTAATTTTGTAAAGATTCTTCAGTTTTAAGTTTCCTTGTCTATAAGCTCCATGAACACAGAGATCGTGTCTTATTTCATTACTCTTAATACATGGTAGGTTTATAAGATATGGGTCAAATGAATGAAAAATAGTATGGAGATGGTAATTTCATTGATGATCTCCCAGTCAGGTCTCTCTCTTGAGCTCCAAAGCCATATAGTCAACTAACATCTCCACTGAAATGTCTCATAAACTTGATATGCCCAAAACTGATTTTAGCATACTCCATGACAAATCTGCAGAAGCATAACAGCACTCTCTTTTTTAAAAAATAAAATTATGGAATGAGTAAGTCCTACATGTTATCTAAAGGGGTCATCTTCACAGCATCCTTCACAAGTGATTAACTCATGTATACTTGAATACTTCTATAATGAGAAAGCTGTAATTACCAGAACATTCGTCATTATGATGAGCTGAAACTTTCTACCTTGTACTTTCCCTCAATGCTACTAGTTCTGCTTTCCAGAGCTAAACAGAAAGTATATAATGCACCAGTTTTTACTCCTAGCTACATACGGAATGATCTAGGGGGATTAGGGAAGGGAAACACACATACACGCAGGCACATGCGCTGGTCCCTGCCTCAGCTCAATCAAAATTCTCAGAAATTCTCAGAGTAGGACCCAGGCATCTGCAATTTTTAAAAAGTTCCCCAGGTAACACTAATAAAAACCAGGGTCTTAACGACTGATAATATCTCTCATAGCATATTAAGCCCTATCAATGTGCTATCTTCTCTTGAATCACTTCTTGTTACCTATTTTCCAGACCTTTCCCTTCCCCTATATGTGTTCTTGTGCATAATTTCCTACCTAATATGTGAAGATCCAAACCAAACATAACAACCAAGATGTGGGCTGATCTGCACTATTATTTAAGCAGGGAGCAAAGAACTAAAGAAATAAAGACAAAATTTGGTAGAAAATACATAGTTGAAGAACATAAAAAAGTACATTCTCTGTTTTCACCTTGCTATGGAGTTCCTTTACTAGTGAATAATACGTATGGGCAATACCATTTCTCGGTCTTATGTCATATCGACAAATGGCAAATGGGCTAGAGCCTGCTTAGAATAAGTTTGCCATGGTACCCGCTCCATGGCTAGCAGCAAGGGTGAGGGCCAACAAGGTGGGAGTGTACTTTACAAAGCCTGCTTTAACTGCCATTATAGGTTGTAGCAGTGGCTATTTTTATTTTGTAGAAGCAGGCTATGTACAACTACAAGCCAAAAAGGCTGGTGGCAGTCTTTGTTCTCAGGCAAACCACATCTGAATATGCAAAGAGGACTATCAGATCTACTGCCCTGACCACTGTTAACATCTTCTTCCCTAACAGGGGCCCCTGCTGAGTCCTGAGGAGATATCTGTTTAAACACCTAGTTTAACTCTGGGTAAAAGACTACTTACATGAATTTTAGGAACTGCCAGCGATTTGGACAATGACCATTATTCACTTCACTTTTATAATGTGCTACCATGATGCTGTTATGTTCTTCCTTGCCTCTGCCTGTATCAGAAATATTCTTGTCACAAACCAAATCTCTAAGAGCTTCACTACTGAAAATGATTTCTCTATCAAGGATTTTGCCAAACTCAAGGATCTGTCTAGAGCCAGAGCCTCACCTGAACTCAAGTTAGCAAAGGAAAAGATGAAATGGAACATACACAGAAGGAATGAGAAAGTCTGAGCTTCATTGTTTTAAAAACCACAGCTTCTGAAAGGAGAGAAAGGGGAGGAGGAGGAAGGTAGGTGCTGCAGATTCCAGTGGCCTCTTCCTTCTCTGATCTGCACATGTACATCTATTCGGGCAGCCTAAGACTGCAAATCTATGCTGGCAACTAAAACACACTGTTGGCTTGCACTGGGTATTCAATTCTTTTTAATGCAAAATGTTCTTAAATCAGGTCTTCCTCGCATTCTACACCTGAGGAAAATGCACGTGCGCACGCACACACACACACACACACACACACTCATAATTTTACCACCCAAAGATGATAATTATAGTTAATATAGTTAACATTTTATTGCTTCACCATCCAAAGACGATAATTATAGTTAATATAGTTAACATTTTATTGCTAATTCTTCCAGTTTATTTTAATGTATTGTATATCACACAAAACATTTTTTTCACGTCTTTAAATCATCAAATCCTTCTCTCAGCAGCATAATGCTTAAAGAATGATTACTATTATTCCAATGCAAAATTCACTCAATTGGGTTCTCTATTGTTAGACATTAAAAATTACCCTTTGGTACAAGGTTTCAGTGATAAGTAAGTTTTGGGGATCTACTGTACTATAGTTATTATGATTATAGTTAACAATAGTGTATTATATACTTGAAAGTTGCAAAAGAGAGTAAATATTAAACTTTCTTACCACACAAAAAAGTAATTATGTGTAACGATGGCTGTGTTAACTAACTTATTGTAGTGATCCTTTTGAAATATATACATGTATCAAATCATCACATTGTATACCTTAAACTTACACAATGTTATACGTCAATTATATTTCAATAAAGCTAGAAAAAAAAATTACCCTTTGGCCATACAATTCTCTTTTGGAAGGAAGTGGCCTATGAATAATAATTACTGAAGAAGAAAAATCATATGTTAGAGGTCAAATTTAATACATATATTATATTTGATGTAAAACTGACTGGAAATGAGATTATCTTAGAAAGAAGTTTGTAAAACTCAAGATATCATTCTCATCGATTTCCTTTAATTAAGAAAAAAGTCAATAAGGGAAGAAATAAATATTACTTATCTATACTACCTCCCTTCAGATTTTCTACTGATATATGACCTGCCAGCTTCATAAGAAATATAGTTACAGTTCCCAGTTGGTTTACTTATTAGAGCTAGTAATCTCTATGCTAATCAAAAATTCAAAGGATACTAATATTCTTTAAATACAAGATTACATCTATAATACGAATAGTAGTCAGGCTGTTTAATCCCCTAGAAACTAGCCTAAATGTTTAACAATTAGAATCATAATTTAAATTTTTGATTTTTAGTCTTACAGAAAAAAGGAGAAAAATCCTTATAATGAAACACAAATAAATAGCCTCTCGTCCTTTCTCCTCAATCTAGTCTTCGAAATACATGTGCACGTACTCACGTAAAAGCTCTATTTCAAGTGAACACTTTTAATTTAAACTATGGAAACAATAAGAGACTATGAACCTGAACACTATTTTCAAAACCTTTATAAGAGACAGAGATGGAAGTTTTTCCCTTCCATAATTTAGAAATAAAAATAACAAACCTCTAAGATGTGTATGAGGGAAAGTTCTTCTTTATGAGGGAAAAAACAGCTAATAAATGCAGAAGGAATATCACAATTTAAAAAATTATCATTTATGAAATAATGATCTAGGCAAGACCACCAGTGGATGCTAAAACCGTTACGGAAAAGATTGATGCAGATCTGCATAATGGAGGATAAGGCTAATATACTACACAAACACTGTTAAATGATCCTAGCATCATTATATACATCATGACGTGATGTAGCAGAAAGTAAACAACGGCACGAATAGCCTCGCACAAAAAAAGGTTTTTGAACCTGAATTAAAGTTGCTAGACCTGACTTCCAGTTTACAGAAAATGAGACAGAGGATAAAGTTAAATGATCCAGAGGGGAAAAAAATGAGGCAAATCCAGAACGAGAGACATTCTACAAAGCAATCTGCCTGGTCAATTTTAAAAGTCAATGTCATGGGAAAAATTTTTTTTAAGTGAGAGAATTGTTCTAATGGTCTAAATAAAAGGCCCATAAACTTTTTCTGTAAAGGGCCAAATAGCAAATATTTTAGGCTTTGGAATCAACTGTTGCTGTAGTGTGAACACAGCCAGAGAGACAATACAAATGAGTGGGGCTGTGTTCTGACAAAACTTGATTTGCAAAAATGGATGGCAGACTAGATTTGGTCCACTAACTGTAGTTTGTAGACCCTGCTCTAAATTAAAAGAGATTTAAAACACATAACAATCAGTAACAATAAATGAGCCTTGACAGTCAAAAAAATCAGCTTTAGAAATTTTATGGACAATTGCAAAACCAAATATGTATTAGATACTAGAATATATTAGGTAATTATTGCTGTCTTATGTGCTAATTGTATTATGGTTATATATAAAAATGTCCTTACTGATAGAAAATTCATATCAAAGATTTCAGGAACATGCTTTCACAAGGTCTGCCATTTATTTTTAAAACATACACAGATTAAGCAAATATAGAAAGATAACGATTGCTGAATTCAGATGATGGGTAAACAGGTGTTCACTGTATAATCATTCAACTTTGCTTTATGTTTGAAATTTTTCATAATAAAACGTTAGAAACCAGTTTTTGTTGGAAAATTATATGCACGTTCTCTCTTTATACACACATTATGCATCTGTATACACACATGCAGTAACCCTTAAAACCCAAGTTTGTTACTTGATAACAATATATTCAAAAGAAAAAAGGAAAAAAAAGTAAAATATTTTTTAAAAATGCACCCAGTTTGACAC